CGTCTCGGCCATGAAGATGCGAAGAATCTCAATCGTTTTACTAAAAATGAAATCGTGTGTGGTCTTCCAGTTAAGGACTTCATAACCTTCGAAAAGTGTGTTGTGTGTGCTTAAGGCAAAAATCATCACAATAAACACAAGCCTAAGTTGGTGAACTCAATCAACAAGGTTCTTCAGTTGTTATATATGGATTTGTTTGGTCCGGTCAACGTTCTCAACTTCAACAAGAATACTTACTGCCTGGTTGTGATTGATGATTATTCCCGATCCTCGTGGGTCTTCTTCTTATCCAACAAGAGTGGGATTGCTGACTTGATCAAGAAGTTCATTGTGATGATTGAGAATCAGAAAAATGAGAAGGTGAAGGTGCTTCGAACTGATAATGGCACGGAGTTCCGGAATGTAGTTCTCGATCATTTCTATGCAGAAAAGGGTATATTGGCTTAGTACAGCTCTGTTCGGACACCAAAACAAAACGATGTTGCAGAACAGAGAAATCGTACTCTGATGGACATTGTAAGGACTATGCTTTGTGATTCTAAATTACTGGTCTTCTTCTGGGATGAAGCGATCAACACATCATGTTATGTTCAAAACCATGTTTTGATCAATAAATCACAGATGAAGACCCTGTATGAGATTCTATACAATCACAAACCATCGGTTGCTCACTTCAGAATCTTTGGATGGGCTTGCACCCTCGTTCACCTAGATTCCAACCCCAAGTTCAACTCAAAGGCCGATGACTGCTACTTTGTGGGATACGCCACACACACCGCTTGCAGAGTATACAACAAAACCACAAAGAAGAGTGTGGAATTTTTTGATGTGTATTGGATGGAAGAGAATGAGATAGATGCGAAGGTTTGACTTGATTGGTTATTTGATAACGCATCATTATTTAAATCCTTTAATGTGTATTCGGAAACTGTTTCAGGTTCCTGCTCTCGTTCCAATGAAATGGTTGAAGACGAAGAGGAAGATGTTGTGTACAGATATCCCCTGGTGCCTTCAATGTCTCCTATAGTGGATGTTGAAGTTCCAAGTTCTCCAAGTCAAAGAATTTGTTCTGATGCTGAAGCTACTCCCTTTACTCCCGCTGAAAGAGAATTCATTACAAGAGATTCTTTCGCTGTCACTCCTTCGTTGATGGATCTTCTCTTTCCTAAACCCATTTCAAATGAGTATGTGGCCAGTACTTCTCATGGTACTAGATCGTCGGAGTCGGGTGATTTAGCTAAAGACCGATTTGTCAACATCAGCAATCTTCTAGTCTCAGTTAATGACTTCAGCCTTGAAATTCCCACCAGAGTTCAACGTGATCATCCGATTGAAAATGTCATTGGTTCTCTGGATGACAGAGTCAAAATGCAAAGCCAAAGTGGAGATGTTAATGAACCAAGTTGGGTGGATGTGATGCACGAAGAACTTAATCAATTTGGAAAATTGGGTATGTGGAAGCTGGTTGAGTTACCGAAAGGCAAGAAGTCTCTAGATACACGTTGGGTTTTTAGAAACAAGCAAGATGATTGTGGTGTCATTGTGCGGAAAAAAGCTCGATTAGTTGTTCGTGATTTCAGGAAAATTGAGGGTCTTGACTACACAGAAGTATATGCACCAGTAGCTCGTTTGGAAGCCATTTGAATATTCCTAGCATATAGTTCATACATGGGCTTTACTGTCTATCAAATGGATGTCAAGAGCGCTTTCTTGTACAACGCTGTGAAAGAAGAAATTAATGTTGATCAACCTCCTGGGTTTGTTAATTCAAAGTTTCTGAATCATGTTTAGAAGTTGGACAAGGCTCTGTATGGGTTACATCACGCTCCTAGAACCTCGTATGCTACCCTCACTGAGCATTTGCTTGAGTGCGGTTATTCTCGGGGGACGAATGATCAGGCTTTGTTTATCAAAAATGTAGATGCAGATTTCATAATTTTGTAGATCTATGTTGATGATATCATTTTCGGGTCGACAAGTCTAAATTTATGGAAAGAATTTGAGGCTGTTATGAAGAAGAGATTTGAGATGAGCTCGCTGGGAGAAATGACCAAGTTCTTAGGTCTTCAAATCCGCCAAGATTCGATCAGAATCTTAGTGCATCAAGGCAAATATGTTGAGGATATGCTTGAGAAGTTTGGGTTCAAAGAATCCAAACTTGCCTCTACTTCCATGGCTGAAATACCTCTATTGGGACCCAGATCCAAAAGGAGACTCCGTAGATCTAACTGAATATCGATCGATGATCGGATCTCTTATGAATTTGACTGCCATCAGTCCTGGCATCATGTTCGTCGTCTGTCAATGTGCTCGATATCAGGCTAATCCGAAACTCTCTCATTATTGCTGTTAAACAGATTTTTAGATACCTCAAAGGTAGTCCTAAATTGGGGCTATGGTATCCTAAAAATTTTGATTTTGATCTATATGCTTTCGTTGACAGCAATTATGGAGGGTCTAATTTTAACACGAAATCCACTTTAGGAAGATGTCAGTTTCTAGGGGAGAGGTTGGTGTTTTGGCGATGCAAGAAATAGCAGATGGTGTCCACTTCAATAGTTGAGGAAGAGTATGTTGCTGCTTCAGCATGCTGCTCCCAGGTCATCTGGATTCAACACCAACAGCTGGATTACGGTTTGAACTTTCTTGACACCTCCATATTTTGTGACAATGATGCTACGATTAAAATTAAAAAAATCCGATCCAGCACTCCACAACTAAGCACATCGATATCAAAATTCATTTTATCCGAGACTTCTATGAGCATAAACTTATTCGTTTGGAGCAGATCCACACTGATAATAATGTGGCAGATCTGTTTACCAAATCTTTCGGCAAAGCTCAATTCGATGTGCTTGTGGGATTTCTTAAAATGATTCATTTTGAAGACCAATTTTTTAGCTTACTTTAAATTTGCACATTTTATTTTTGTTTCTTCTCTCTTATGCACAAATTTAGGGGAGAAATCAGAATACAAAAAAAATATTAAAAAAAATCCAAAAATATGTTCTTAGGTTTGTCTTTTGTAGGTAATCATTTGGGAAGTGATATCAAGTATAAGTGACAACGGGCAGTCTAAACGAGTGTAAGGTACTGAATCTAAATTTTTTAGACTATGCGTTCAATGTGTTGGTAGGCATAAGGGGTTCAAAAGGACTGGACTTATTTTGACAATCGAAAGGACATGACAGTATGATGTTAGATAGTCCCATTTGGACTCACCATAGGACACTCAGGTAGATTGAGCGGCGAGATAAACATGAGAATCTGTAGGATACATTAAGATCATATATCTAGAGTTGTGGTTTAACATTTCCTTGATGTATGGTCTCATAACCTTAATTCTGGTATTGATACAGTAACTGGGGGATTTAATAAAGTAGGTCTGTAGAAAATTGTTTTCTTGCTTTCTTTCAGTCAGACATATGTTGCTTCCTTTGCACGATTAGAATATATCCAACCTGGAATGCAACATATGCAACTCTTTTCTATGCACCTTCTTACATATGCAGTTCCTTCTGTCTATTAGTATATGCTATCTTCTTTGTGTGATTGAAACAATCCTACCTGGAACACAACATGTGCATTATTCTATCTCTCAACATCTCTATATGTGTTAGTCACATGTTGTCCTCTCTGTGTGATTGGAAGAGATCCGACTAGGGGCACAACATATGCACTTCTGAATCCATCTTTCTTCTTAATCATTGACTACTCACCTAAAGTAAGGAACTTTTTGGAAACACTTGATTGCCAGGGTATATCATGAAGTGGGAAAGTCACTTAAGAATATATAAAATTGAATTAGTTAATAGGTTGTCTGTAGATGTTACTACTGAATTTAAGTGGACAACAATACCCTTGGTCATCGTCATTTAAATGGTCTTTTTAAGATGTTAAGAGTAATGACTTGTCACCTTTAATATGTCAAATTTGTCAAAAATCATTCGAGTTTAAGTGGGTCACAATAACATCAATTGATCAGATCTTCTCATGAAGGTGAAGATACTGAAAAGCATGTTAAGACTGTGTAAGAACTTTCGATCACAAAAACTCTTAATTCTTAATAGAAATTTGTGTTATTTTATTTTTATTTTTATTTTAATCGTTATTTTTTAACTCTATTTTTTAAATTTTTTAATTTTTAGTTTGTTTTTTAAATTTTTTAATTTACGTTATTTTAATTTTAATTTTATTTTTATTTTTATTTTTATTTTTGTTTTTGAAATTTTGTGTCTTCAAAATGTTTCATTTTTTTATTAAACATTGGATTTTCAGTTTACATCCCATTTTCTTTGGGATGTCGGGCCGAGAATTGATGTTGACCTTAAAAGAAGGATTTTCGGTTGGGAACCTCACTTTCCCATTTGCGGCCGAAAGCTCCTCTCTCTCTCTCTCTCTCTCTCACGTGTTCTTGACTGTTCTTCATTCACTCTCATCGATTTCTAATTGTTTGCAGTTATTGTTAGAAATTCTTGATCGATTCTTGAAGGTATATTGAATGCGAAACCCACACTACAAAATTTCGGATGTTTTGACCGTGTTTTTGCAGATTTTGGAAGCCAAAAGGGGTTCATCAAGGTGTTCTTCGTGAATCTGGAATCGCAAGCGTTTTCGATCGTAAACGCATTTGCGGTTGGAAACCGTTTGCGGCCAAAATATCCAAAGCGACCTTATTTTCAATATGAATAAAATTATATTGGAGCCAGATCAATCTATATTTGAAAAAATTAATCTTAATTATTTAAAATTTTAAAATTTTCCACTTGGCTCGGTTGATGCAGATAAATGGCAGACCTAAAATTCTCGGAAAATTAGAATATTGCAGCATGTCTGTCAGATCCTCCAGCAGCACATCAAGAATTTAAGTCCATGTTCATGGACTTAAAAATTGCAGAATAGCTCATGCTTTCCAATCGAATCCTGTTATCTATCAAGATTTAATAAAGGAATTTTGGGGCAAAGCCTTTGTCAATAAAAAAGGAGCAAATGGGGAGGGCATGTTGGAATTTGTAATTCAAGGAAAGGAAATCATTGTGTCCGTAAAGATTACCCGAGATGTACTTCAAATTAAGGATCAGCCTGGTCATCCAACTGAAATTTCTATAGAGCAAATCAAGAAGATACTCAATAAGATGGGCTATGAAAGAGTCTTCCCTCCTACTATAAAGAAGTTGCTACCTCCATACTTCCATTTTCATGCCCATTGCTTTCTCATATGCATCTCTGGCAGGAAGGAAGGTGCAGATGAAATCTCTTTGTTGAATACCGGCGCCATCTCAGCATTAGTCATCAATCTTGATTTCAGATTCAGAAGAAACCTCAGAAAATGAAGATGATGAAGTTACTGTCTCTGATTCGGAAGATGTCACACCCCCAAACAGGAACGGCGGAAACGTTCGGGGGTGGAGGACGTCATGTTTAGTATCACAAGACATGCATCATAGTAATCAAAGTAATAAACAACCATTTCATTAGAAAGAAAGTGTTTACAAAGTATGTGTTCACAAAACATAGACTACATATGTAAAAAACAATAAGAGACTTGAAGCTATTATGCTCCATCTTCTGAATCCCAGTGCGCGTACCTGTCTACTAGTTTACTGAGAATACAAGTTATTTAGAAAGCGTAGATCTGCATTTTAGCCGGTGAGTTCATAAGATTTTAGTGATATAAGTAAGTTGTAAGAAAGTTGTAGTAAGTTGTAAGTTCTGTTTATAAAAGTTCGCCTGTTCTTCTAGAAAATCCTATATTTCCTGCTTTGATGAAAGATAAGTAAAAATGACTCTACAATCCTTTCTATGAGTACTAAGTGGATACAAGTTATATAAAACAATAAGTAAACAAACAATCGATTGTTTGTATCTGCCCTAAGCCCACAACCAAACAAGGAACATGGAATGAGGCGGAAGACACACCTCCCTTTGTTTGTTAGATCATCATTGTATATAACCATGGCATATTCATTTGGTACTCAGGGAGTTAACTGTAATAGTTCCTTTATATTTGATGAAAACATTCTTTAAGGAAACCCTTATTTCTTTTAGTAAAAATGGTAACCATAGTGGTTCCTTCTATAATCACTTAGTTTCTACTAGCTATATAAAATCTAATATTGAACAGATAGTTAATTGTGTGAATCTGCCCTAAGTCCAAAACCAAACAAGGAACACGAAATGAGGCAGAAAGCACACATCCAACTACCTATCAGGTACTAATTATATAAAACCCTGATGTATAAAATACGGTATTATAGAACTAACCACTTAAGGTCCTTTAGGTTTTATTGGTTTAATAAAATGAATTAAATCCTTTACTGATGAGTTTCTAGATTAATTTACTCAATGTTCTATTGTTTGGACGACTACTAGAAGTAATGAAACTTTGTACTTTGGCGCCTTAGTCGATACTAATGTGAGTTTTGGATAATTGTATGTTTTATTTATTACTGTCAGATACTTTACAAGTGTACTCTGTATAAATAATTTTGATTTAATATATTGCTATCACCTCGTACCTGCTAACCTAGGTACGTGTAATCGTACTAGTGTTAACGCTGATCTGGAAAGATATATTACTATGTTTTATCACCCCGTGCCTGCTAACCCAGGTACGTGTAATCGTACTGGTGTTAACAAAAACCCGGAAAGATAAATTATTATGTTTTATCACCTCGTGCCTGCTAACCCAGGTATGTGTAATCGTATTGGTGTTAACGCAAACCCTGAAAAATATATTATTATGTTTTATCACCTCATGTCTGCTAACCCAGGTACGTGTAATCGTACCTTTGTTAGCGCAAACCCAGAAAGATATATTAATACCTTAATTTAATACAAACAATGAGTTAAGGGTACAATGTCTTCCTAGAGTACTAGGGACATTGTATAAGTGATAATTCTTTAATTGCTTGTTTGTTATTGTTATAGTAAATTCCTCCCTGTACTTGTTATAGTATGTTCCTCCCTATACTTGTTATAGCATGTTCTTCTCTAGAACCCCTAAACTAGAGCTATTATAGTTTACTAGTATGTGTACTTGAACTGATACTGACTTGAAGGAAAGACTCATTATAACTACCATGTTATGATTATACATTAAAAAACGGAGTTTTGTAAACTATCAAGTAACATAACTTTAAAAGAGTTTTTGAAACGTTTTGATCACTTAATAGTACAGAAGCAATCCTTTAAAAGATGTTTATAACAAAACATTTACACAATTAACATTGTGCTCAACTTGTATTCCCCCCTTAAAAGCATTTAAAAAACAGTTTAAAAGATTGATTATAGGGGTATGAACTCAGCTTATGTGGGTGGTTCAAACGAATATGCACGTAGGGATGAGAAGTTCCACGAATGAAATCCCGAGACACAAACAAGTCCTAATTGACATATAGTGGCATGTATCGGCATGGATATAGTGTTTAGAAGTAACCACATACAAGGAAACACCTTTAGGGACTAGGAAACACTTGGACTAAGTGTGAGAATCACATATGATTCATTTAAGGCGAGTGTACGACCACAATGATGATTGTGCGGCCACGGGTGTATAGCCAGGGAGCGTACAATCGTACACTCATGGTAACAAGTGCACAAATGTGTGTGTAAATGGTGGGGAACCTTGTGGGACTATTTCTCATCAAGTCTTCAAGTTAGATTTGCATTTTGGAGGCCCTTTAGGGGGTATTTTGAGGGGTCTACGGCCAGATATGGGTGTATGGCCATACACTCCTTATGATCTTTAGTTTAGTCGATTTTAAGGTGTTAATAAGGTGCTCCTAACATGTACTAAGAATAAGGAAAGAGTGCTTACAATTTGGAAGCTCAAAAGGGTTCACGATCACCAAGAACAAGTGTGTGTTCTTGGTGTTCTTGGTGAAATGGATGAAGATTTGAAGATCTAGCCAAAAGATGATTTCCATGGTTGAAATCAAAGGGTGTTACTAGACGAAGAAGGATAACAACAAATCAGAATGGAAGAAATGCTTACATTCTTGAAGATCGGGGTGAAAGCTCGATGATAGTTAAGAGTGAAATCGATATTCTTGACTTGGAAACTAAGGAAAATGGCTTAGAAATGAAGGGGTATCACACTTATGCAGCGGGTGTCTAGCCAAGATGGGTGTACGACCGCACACACCTATGTATGGCAATACACTCATGTGTACGGCCTTACTCTCCCTCACATGGAGTGTATGCCTTGATTTCTAGGTGAAGAATTTATGCAACTCGAGCCTATACCCAATGCTTGAATGTACTGAGCTTTGAACCTTTAGACAGACTCTAAACAAGGCTAAAAGGTAGTAGAAATGAGTATCAAACACTGTTGGATTGAATGGCTGAACTTACAAGGCCAACATTTTCGGGTTGTCACATCATCCTCCCGTTAGAGGGAATTTCGTCCTGAGATTAGAGCATAAACAATATACATGAATAAGATGGAGGGTACGAATACTCATGATTCATCTGGTTCACCCGATCTCTAGGGAAATCGGGTCCTCTGAATACGCGTTAGAAGTCTTTCGCCACGAGGTACGGTTTCGTTTTCGTTCATTGGACTCTACTGACTAGGGTTTCCAAGGGTTTCTTTTAGTGAACTGGATTTCTACAGATTTCTTTTCCAGTATGAGGATTTTTCCTGCATTGATCTAATTGAGTGGAGTGATAAGAGTCTTGACCGAAAACCACTTTTTCACATCTCTATAGACGTGGCAAGATAGGGTGAAATGTATCGAATTCTCTAAATAGATAGGACATGCATGCTGTTAGGCCAATTCTATTGAGAACCTCACATGGTCCTGAGTACTTTGGGTTTAGCATTCCATACATCTGAAACACATGATGCCCTTCTAAGGTGATATCCCCATTTGTCATAATTATCATCCTAGAGTTCCAAAGGTTTCCCTCTTACGGTAAGCGTAGCTTTCCTAGTTGGTTCTAGAAGTTTTAGGTCATTTGTGGATTCGTACTTTCTGCTTGGCAGTTTACTCAAATGGTTTCTGGATCGGCGAATATGTTGTCTGATATTTTGGCAACTAACTAGTCGTGTGGCACTTAACTTAGTCCAGTGTAGAGAGGTTCTGCGCTTACGACCAATGAAGGTTTTCGAATGCAGCAACTCCAAATGCCAGTATGGTAAAGGGACTTGACTAGTTTGCAATTCGGGTATCCCAAACTTTTCGAAGGTCAGTCGCAATGCATTTTTCCCGCAAAATTCCTAATGATCGAATTATCCTATCAATCCGTCTGTGGTTTCATGGATGGTAGCCTATGCTTAAGATAGCCTAGCCCTCGAGGATTTTCTGAAGTAACTGCCTAATTTGGAAGGTGATTCTATTATCTCAAATAAAGATAATGGACATTTGAACACCGAGCAGTCTAACAAATCCCTTGGACACATGTTCCATTAGCTTAACTAATGTGTCCGTTTTCTTCAATTTGTAAGGAATATGCAGATTTAATCCGTCAACGGTCACTCAAAATGATATCGTGTCCGCCTGTTATCTTGGGAAACTTGACTATGAAGCTCAACGCAATCTGCTGTCTCTGATTGGTAGAATACCCACTCGTAGACCTAGGCAACTTTTCCCTTAGGATCCTGATAGGATTCATACCTAGTCTATCTATCATTATCTCGTGTATATAAGTCGTATATAATTAAAATTAGTAAGACGGTCGGATGTGCGATGCAAGATCCCGGTCTACAACCAAACGAGCAACAGGAGAGAGAGAGGAAACACACATAGTAAATCTGCATACTCATAATTATATATAACTCTCGCATATATACTTATTAGTGATAGGTGGGTAGTATTCACTCTTAGCCTCGTTGCTTGAACTTGATCCGCTGGACGAGTGGTAGTTCGGAAAGGTCTGTTGGATATACGGTGGTAAGGTTTCGGATGGCAAGATATTCCTCTCATGAGTATTTAGGGGTTTGGAATATGATCAAGATGATTCTGAAATCTAAGTCGGGTTGTTGTTATGAATGACGAGGGTTTCGCAAATTCGATGGTCAAGGCGGTGGAAACATATAAACTCAGTATGGTGAGGACCACGCTACTCATGACGAATGATGGTAATGGACTCTTTTACCGAAACAAAGTTTAGGCCGATTTGAAAGGAAATTTTGTTATATGACGGTGTATTCTGAGTGGGATCCACCATGTATTCGATGTAAAATGTTCTAGTGCTTTCTGTTTTCTCCCGGATGCTACCACTACCACAAATCGTACCGCGATGAGCGCGTACTAATAGTGCAGTGTTTTGATAACTAGTGTTGATACTTTATGTGATGATCCTCCTCAGTACCACTATGATTTCCCTA